CGCGACGCCCGTGCCAGACTGGGGCGAGGGGGGCGCCCTGCAAGTTGAAGAAGACCCCAGGGGACAGGGAGAACTTGAGCAAGTCGTCAGCGCGGGTGGGCGACACCATGAGGATGGCGGTGACCTCAGGCTCGTAGGCGTCGGCCGCTTTCGTCTTGAGAACGTGTCTGATAAGCGCCGTATGAGCACCAGGGCTGGGGCAGCCAAAGGTTTCTCTTGGGCTTGGCTCCAGGGGCAGTCACCAGCAGAATTGCGGGCGATCGTGCGACGAAAGGCCGCTGGTTTGATGTCTTGGGAGATGGGGGTGGCGAGTCATCAGTGGCCCTAGTTGGCAGCCCCTGCCTGGCTGGTGCAGCTAATCTCGTTGTGTGGACCAAGGCCTGGGCCTTAGTGGCGCCCCCTGGAGATTCGACGGGAATCTCCCGCTGCGCCCAGCCAACTCAGAGGTCCTTCAAATTGAACGATATGTACGTGACGGCCTGGGCGTCATATCCCCGAGCCGCAAACCAGACTTGAACTTTGTCGTGCTCCTCAGGGCCTCGGCCCTGGGAGACGATGATAGACGGCTTCTTCGGATCGAAGTCGCGCCCCTGGATGGGCGCGGCATGGAAGATGGTGGAAGAGCCCCGCGGGAAAGTGAGGATCCTCGGCTTGGTAGATGACCTGGGCGGGGGATGCTGCTGCAACTCTGCGCCCGTGGACTTGGTCTGGTGGTGGCCTATCAAGGACTGGAGGGTGGCCGCGACGTCGGCGTGCGAAGGAGGCCGCGCCTGCTGGTCGGCCCGTGCAATGAGGTGCTTCGACCGCGCCGGGATTCGAAGGTCCTGGCGTCGACGCTGTGGCGCGGCCTTCTGAGGTGGCGGCGCGGTTGGCATAGGCGATCGGCGCCCCCATGGATCCGGCTAGCGGCTAGCCAGGTCACGCGCAATATATTCCAATGCCGAGAATTCGCCTTGCATCTTCGCCAACTGGGTACCCCGCCGCCTCTGCGAGCACATGGCTTTCTTGGCTCCACCGCCGAGCAGTGGATCATGATTAGAAGAAGCGTCGGCTGCCAACGCAGCCGTAAGAGCCGCCATGCCCTTCCCCAGAGCCTGGGGCTCCTCGTCGCGATGCCCTCGGAGGGGGCGAGGTCGCTGAACTTCGCCGCGGCGGGGCCGTCCCGTCAATCCCAATGTCGGGGGGGTCAGCTTCACTGGTGGTCATCATCAGTTTCGACTTCGCAAGCGCAGTGAATACTAAGAATACGGAACTCCAAATCGGACCCGCTTCCTCAATCATTTCGCACATGGAAATCCAATCATCGCCACCCGCGGTCGCCATGGAACGTCTTGGCTGAACGTTCGAACGAACCGAAGAGCTCGTCAAACGCGGTATCATATGCAGCTTCTCCTGTTGTGTCGATGTGAGTGGTGATGATCTGTATGAATATAAGCGAGAGTACCCCGTAAACTGAGAACAGCATAAGCACAGTCGACAGGAAACTCTCGAATAAACCCTGGACGCAAATCATGAAGGCACTTCGATATTTCTGTTATGCATGAACCTGAATGCCTTCATCACCTTTGCGAGCTTCAGAGAGTGCACTATTTTCATGAAGTTAAGCCGAATAGCAGCGCCCAGCACCACAGTGGCACCGTCGGAGATGACCACCAACATGTCGAGCGCATTCACCTTCCACTGGGCCCTGCAGAAGAACCAGGGCCGCTGCGCGGCGAGCATGGCAGCCATCTCGAAGCTGTAGATCACCAGGAAGACCGCATCGGCTGCCAGCATGCCGCGATCGGCGGGGCTTCCGATGTTAACGTTGGCCCCGTGGACCACGAAGCAGAGGTTGGCGAGTACCGCGGCGCCCATGTACAGCTCGAGCCCAGGCCGCCAACGAAGCGGGCGAGCCGCCCCCGAGCGCTGTGGCTCCTGACTCGGCCACGACGCGTGACGCCGCAGCTTCTCCGACAGCGATCTCGAGTTGAAGCTGAACTGCGCCCGCAGCTGGCCGCGGCTGTGGCTGGCTTCGCCGTCGGGCGGGGAACTGCCGCCGCGCTGCAGCCCCTGCAAGCTGAATGACATCTGCAGGGTGGAGACCATGATGGCCTCCCCTGGTCTTGGCTCAGCGCGTGCGAGACCGACGGATCCCCCGCGCCCTGCGGGAACCGCTGGCCGTCCAAGTCCGAAATTGAAGTCAGCAGGGCAGATTCGCTACCAGATCGGCTTGACATCCGGCTGCCCGCCGCGGGGAGCTGCCGCCCCATCCGCGGGCGGGTGGCGCAACGGAGCCACCTCCGCCACCGCCTGCGGGAAGGCCACCCGCCATGCTGGACGGCGCCGGTCCGAGGGGCGCCATCCCACCAGAATGCCTGAGCCAACATTGCAAGGCCGCATCAAGTTCCGTCCGCAGCACCTCTCGCATTGGTCCGCCGAGGCAGTCCTCCAGGTCCCCGCGCGCGGCAAAGCACACGACGCGGGCGAACGGCTCCGAGGCCGCGGCTCAGGCGACAGCGGCGTCGCCGCCCTGGCTCTTGTTCCTGGTGCTGCTCATGTGGGGAACTTTAGGTGAGCGCGCAGCGCGTTCAAGCTCGGTCATTGTGGCGGTGAGCTCGCGCCAATGGCCTCCAGATAAAGCAAGTGAAACACGGCGCCACCTCGAGCCAAAGCTACGGACTTGGGGCCGGGAGCCCTGGATAGGAAGCGCGCAAACATGGACTAGCGGCCTAGCGATCCATGGATTCGGCGCGCGGTCGCCAAATCCATGGATCGGGGGAGGTGCCCTCCCCCAAATGCGGCCGGCGCCGCCTCGTTCGGCGGCGGAAATCAGCCATTCCCCATGGAAACGGGGCCCGTCGCTAATCCGCGCCCCCTTGATCCATGTTTGCGATCGTCTGGCGGGAACGCTGGAGCTGGCAGCAGCCGTGGAATCGTCGCCGAGCACCTCCGAGCCGCGCCGCGCCGTGCCTCTGACCCGCCCCCGCCCACGGCATGCCCGCGCCCCGCCTCGCCGCTGCCTCGCCTCTGCCCTCCCCCTGCGAGCGGAGGTTACGAACCGAAGGGCCGAACCAACCGTCGAATCCGTCGGTAGAGGATGAGATGAGAAAATGAAAGCGTCCTTTTCCTTTTCGCAGCCCGATGGTCATCGGGCTCGCTGTCCGATAGCTGAGCCGAGAGTATTGCAGTACGGATGGGTAGAAGGAGGAGAAGAGCGGTCTTCCTGCACTCGACCCGCCCTGCCCCTCCCCCGCCTCGCCCCGCTCCTGCCAGTCGGACTTGGGACGGAAAAGCAGCCTTCCAGAACGTGAGACCTCGACCTTCTGTACCTCGCCTCTGCCTCGCTTCTGCCCCCCCCCCCCGCCCCTGCCCTGCCTCGCCTCGCCCCGCCCCTGCCAGTCGGACGTGGGACAGGAGAGCAGCCTTCCAGAACGTGAGACCACGACCTTCTGTACCTCGCCTCTGCCTCGCTTCTGCCCCCCCCCCCCCGCCCCTGCCCTGCCTCGCCTCGCCCCGCCCATGCCGGTCTGACGTGGGGCAGGAGAGCAGCCTTCCAGAACGTGAGACCTCGATCTTAGACTGTGGAGGCCAGTCCACAAGAAGCCTTCCACAAGAAACCCAACCGTGAGACCCCAGGACGTCCAGTGGGCGTGGGAACGCCACGCTTTCCATCGCAAAACCATCGGAGCCCAAGAAACCCAGGGCACCCTGTAGGCAAGCAGGGTGTTTCTTGGAATAGATCTCCACTGTAGCTCGGTCCAGCTGTACTTTTCGTCCCCCTTCATCGGGCGTTCGCTACTCTTGTGGATGCCACGACAATGGACACCCTAACAATCCGATCATTGAATTTACAATGTGTTAAAAAATGCCGGAACATGTTCTAGACATGTTTTAAACATGTGTTCACACATGTAAAACATGTTTAACACATGTTTTAGGCATATGGAAATTATTTGGCTACATGCTTCCTCTCGACTTCCACAACGCTACTGCGCTCTCAGCCGCGCCTCGATCTCCACAGCCTGCCCTGGCCTGCCACGCACGGCTCTGCCGCGCAGGGCCCTGCCTGGCTCTGTCCAACCGGGCTCTGCTCGGGCCTCTCCTGCTTGGCCTGGCCATGCCCTGCCGCCCACTGCCTCGACTTCCAGCGGCCCTCGGTCTTCCCTCTTTCCTTTCGTTGCTTGCCCATGCTTCCCCAGCCTCGCCTTCAGTGGCCACGATTGGTATCGACTAGGTTGTACTATCTCGCGGCTTGCCTCGCATGGCTGGGTCTACGTAGACTTGCATGGCATTGCCCGGCTCTGCTTCGTGTCGCCTTGCATCACCCCGATGTGCTGCGCCTGACGTTGCATCGTCTTGCCTCGCGTGACACTGCTCCGCCTCGCTTGCCCTTCCCTTCTCGTCGGTCGCCCCGCTGGGCCCGGTTGGAATCCGACGGAACCGACGCGCGCACGCGTGCCCCCCTGCGGGCCGCGGGCCCCGCGAGCCGTGCACCGCCCCAGGTGGCCATGCGCAGGAGCACGAGGTAGGGGAACGAACAATGACATAAACATCAAAACTCGGAGGTCCGCGCGGATTTCTCGGATCCGCGCTGGACCCCCTGGCGGCGCCTCCCTGGCGCGCTCCGCGCGCCAGGGAGGGGGGTCCAGCGCGGGTCCGAGAAATCCGCGCGGACCTCCGAGTTTTGATGTTTATGTCATTGTTCGTTCCCCTAGGAGGGGGCACGCCCCTCGGGAAGGCGGGCGCGCGCAGAGCCCCAGGCGCGCCACGTCCAGAGCAGGCCCGGCGGTGCCGCTGCACGACCGTCGGCCTGAGCCGCCTGCCCTCGCGCAGCGCACCCCGCGCCCCGCGGTGCGCGGCCCTCTTCGCGCCCCCGCGCCACCGCCGTGGAGAAGGGCGCCTCGCCGACCCAGGCCGCCCCTCGGGGGTGAGCCCGTCGACTGCCCCCTGCCGGGGCCCACCTGGCAGTCCCTCCCCCCCCCCCTCCCGGCCGCACCGCCGCGGGGCGCAGGGCTCTCCTCCAGCCGCCCGCCGCCCAGCCCGCGCGCCAGCCTCGCGGGGCGAGGGGGGGAGAGCGCGACGGAGCACGGCGCTCTGGGAGAGTGGCCGGGCGCGATCCGAACGCGGGCTGGTGTGGCAACCCGCCCGCTCCCGGCGGGCAACCCGCCGGCAACCCGCCCCCTCGGGGATCTATTGGCCCGGGTCAATCCAGACCCAGGCCAGTCTGGTTTTGCAAGGTCCTGCAGGATTCTGCAAGATCGGACGCTCCAGGTGTCGGAAACAACTTCTGCAACACTCACGCATGACATATGGCGTAAACTCCCCCCCCCTCCCCCCGAATGCAACGTTGGGCTCGGATCTCCCGAGTTGGAGTGTCGGACCTAGAAGTAAACAAATCCACCCCCATAATAACCACCCCGACACGCGAAGTCGTTTAGTAAACGCGCCCAAAGAAGGAATCAAACAAGGCAGGGCTTTCGTAAACGCCAGTTGTCCGGTCCGGGTGGTTTTTCCTCCATTGAGGACCAGTGACGCGTATACAGTCAAAACGTATAGTAAGAACGCGTGGTAAGGACGCAAGACCCTTGGAGGCTGAAATTGGGTTTTTCTGGGCGGCGGCGACCAGTGAAAAAGGCAAAGGACGGGCCACAGAGGCAAGGACGCAAGGGCATCCTAGATGAAGGCGCGCGTCCTTACTAGGCGCGTTGACTGTACGTGCCAACCTTGACCTGCGGGGGGAAGGGGGGAGGGTTGCTCCATTCAGTTCCCTCAGCCGTCGGACTGGCCCCGGTTTTCGCTGACCGCCGTCCCTTGGAGCCCCGGCCTCCGACGGTCGGGCGGCCGCCGGCGCAGCCCACCCGCCTCCCACTTCGGGGAGGGGATCGCCTGCAGAATCCCACCGGCTCTCATGCACACGCCCGGGCGATGCCAAGTCGAGAGCGTTTCTGTTTCTTGCCTCCTCCCTCTCCCTGCTTGGGAGGTTTGCCTCCTCCTCCCCCCCCCCCCTCCCTGGGTCTGGACGGCCCCCCGCGGGGGGTTAGAGCGTCCAAGATGGCCCAAGATAGCCTCAAGAGGGCTCTAGCTGGCCCAGGATGGCCTCCACGATCGCCCAAGATGCCTCAAGACGGCTCAGGATAGCGTCCGACACGCATCCAAGAGGCCTCAAGACGGCCCGAAGACGGTTTCAGCTGCCCTCCGAGCCCTCCAAGGAGGGGCCAAGATGGGTTCAAACTATAGGAAAATCAATGTATTTTGCCTTTTCGCTTTTTCGCTTCCGATGGGCTCTTGAGGCGGCAAGATGGCCCCAAGATGGCCCAACATAGCCCCAAGAGAAGCCCAAGAGGGCCCCGAGAGGGCCCCAAGAGCGCCCCGAGAGCGGTCCATGAGGGCCTTTTGGGCCTCCGAGGGGGGGGCCTAAATCTGATACGCACCTCTTTTTGAGCGAAGGGGTCCAAGACAGTCCCAAGAGGCCTCCCAGACCCCCCGAAAGAGCCCCAAGACTCTCCAAGAGAGCCGCAAGAGAGCCTCAAGAGATCCCCGAAAGACCCACAAGAGAGCCCCAATAGGGGCCAAGAGTAGAAAATCCGATCTACGACGGGGGCCGCTGCGCCAGAAACGCTTACCACAGGGAACACCCCGGCGTCTCTTGCACGGGTTTCCATCTTAAACTTCGCTGCGGGAAACTATGTGAGATCATTGTTTCTCATAGCCCAGGGTGGATGCAGCCACCTGCGCTAGGGACGTCTTCCACGGGGAGCACCACGTCGTATCTTGCACTGATTTCCGTCTTAAACTTCAATGCGGGAAGCTATGTGTGATCATTATTATTCTGAAGACGTCCGCCCAATTGCATGCTTCCAGTCGTCCCTGATTTACCAACTCCCCTGCTGATCGTTTCTGGATGGGCCACTGGGGGTACTTATTTTGGTCGGCGGCTCCGAGGTAGCGGACAGGGAGCGGTAGGCGTCGTCTGGGCCAGCAGGCACCAGTGGGGATACTTTTTGATCTGCGGCCCAAAGGACGGTTCAAGAGGGCGGGTCAATCAGGTCGTCTGGGGCACAGAGCCAGATAAGTTGCGAATCCAGCCGTCACTGTCGACAGCCGACCGCACCTGCAAGCATGCTCGCAGTTGCACATGCACAGAACAAAATGAACTAAATTCAAGGAGACGCAACTTAACAAGCGAGGAACAAAATGAACCTCATTAAGCCGCAAGAACGGCAGCCGACAACGGACAGCAGGGCGTCGCACAGTGGCGCCAGCACCCGGCAGACCGGACGGCGACGAGCAGGGAACAGCGGGCAGCTGCGACCCAGGCGCGCCCGCCTGAGAAAGGGCAGCGAAGGCGAGCAGATAGGGGGTAAGGCCTCACTCACGGAGCACCTTAGGTGCTCGAAGCTGGCAAACCAGGCACCAGCGGACTAGACGTGAAGTCGAGTAGAAACACCACTGCACGAGGGGGGAACGTCACATGGGCCAGTACGTTATCACCAACCGTCGGCTGTGTGTTGCCGGTGGGCAACAGACGGAGCGTCAGACCGGTGAGCGCGACCCTGCCAGACTGCGCCCTGGTGCAGGAAGCCTGTGTGGGCCGACCTGCCAGTGTCACGATGGGCGCACTCTATTCCGTGATGTCGCCACCGGAAGGCGCCTGCCTGGTGGGGGGAAAACACCACCGAACCAGGTCACCAGTCGGCGTAACTGCGTCGTGTGGAGCGTATGGGGCGGGCCTTAGGCCAGCGGCCCCAGCAATCCAAAGTGAGTGCCCGGGCATGCGAGAAGAGCCCATGCCCGTTAGAATAAGGCCAAAGTGAGCCGCGGGCAGGATTATGCAGCCAATACCACACGGGCTAAGAACCAACGAGGCGCCGTGGGAAACTAGACGCAGTGTTGTGAGAGGTGCACCTCGTCCCCAGGAGGTAACACGAGGGTATTAAGGCCAAGGCCTACCACTGCGGTGAAACGAGTCCCTGTCGCGAAGGAGCCACCCCGTCGGTAGTGGCCCGTGGGGGCAGCCGCCAAAGTTGAGCGCACCCTATAGCGTGAAAACGAACACGTCGAACGGCCCGTCACGTCAGTCGTCGTGGAGGAGGAGGGGGGGGGGGGGGGGCGCAGCCGATAGCCGCAAGTCAGTTGAATACAAAGGAGGAGGAGGAGAGCCATGTGGCGACACAGTCAGTCGAGGACCCAACAAGGCGTAGTCGGAAAGTAGTCGGCGGAAGGCGCCTGCCTGGTGGTGGGGAAACGCCACCAGAACAAGGTCACCAGTCGTCGGATGAGCAGCGTGTGGAGCGAACGGGGCGGGCCTTAGGCCTGCAGCCCCAGCCATCCAAAGTGAGTGTCCCAGCGTGCGAGACGGGCCCAGGTCCGTGCGAACAGGGCCACAGTGAACCGTGGGCAGGAATTATTGCAGCCATTACCACACGGGCTAATAGCCCACGATGCCCCGTGGGAGTCTAGACGCAGTGTGAGCGGTGCACCTCACCCCCAGGAGGTGCCTCGAATATCAAGGCCAGGGCCTGTCACTGCGGTGAAACAGGCCCCTGTCGTGTAGGGGCCACCCACGGAAGCGGTGGCCCGCGGGGGACAGCTGTCCGCGTCGTCTTATTCCTCACCAGTTGCGCGCCTGCGTGCGGCAAAGGGGCGGTTGAGGACCATGGGGCTGCCGACCCATTGGGCCCCGCATGGCACGCAGGGGTCCCGTATGGCCCACAGGGTCAGCGCGATGGAGACCACTTCGTATAGGGAGGTGGAGGCTGTCCCCAGCTGACCGAGGTCGATGTTGCCCAGAAAGCAAGCGCGGCGTTCCGTCACGGGCTGAGTGGCAAATCGGAGTATTGAGATGAACAGGGGGGAAACGGGCAGAGTAGCGACCCAGAGTGTCGTCCTGGGGGGATAGGTGGCTTGAGCCGCAGACGAGCATCGTGGAGCGTACTCGAGAGCGCAGGGGAGGGCAAGAGCAGGGAGAGGGCGATGGAGCCCTAGTCGACTGTCCCTCGACGATGGGGCTGCCTTCCTGGGCCTGGGGAAATGGAGGGGACAACGTACATTTTGGATAGACCAGGCGAGCTCACTTGCGGGCAACGCCCCATCCGCGCTGTCTTTTGTCAGCATAGTGAGCGTCTCCTCTGGGGGCAGTTCGTTTCTCCCTGGTCCTCCATTCTGTGTCGGTCCACGTGCCTTGCCGGCGGTCCCACCCCTCCCAGGACTGCCATGGATCCCATTGGGCGGCTGAACTGGATGCGCCTGTCTGCGTGGCAACCCTGTAGTCGGTGTACACCGAGGGGGAACATGTGGCCTCTTTTGGTTTGCTCCATGGGCACCGGCGGTCATCTCCACTGGGCCCGCCTGAGGCAGCTGCTTGCGTGGCGTCTCTGTCACCGGCGGGCACCCGGGGGGAACCTGTCGCAACATTGCTGCCGACAGCCCATGGATACGGGGGACCGCCTCCGCTGGGACCCTTGGGGGTGCGTGTCTTGGTGTCGCGTTGTAACTGCTGGCGCTGCTTGTCCATAATGGTTGGCCATTCTACGTGGAGCTGGTGCTCGTCGTCCATCTTGTAGGCGTCGAAGCCTGCTTTGTTCCATGCCTGGAGGACGTCTTCACACTGCTGTAACGAATTCTTCCTGGGGTCGGAGTTGATGTTAACCCGTGGGCTCCCTTGCTTGTTGGCTGCCTTACGGGCCCAGGCGGTGCAGATCCCGTTGAAGGCGCCTCCCAGCGTCTTCTGTAGTCTGATGATCTTGTCTGGTGCTGGTTCGTCCTGGCTAGTATCTGCTTCGTTGATTGGCTTCAAGTACATGGGGAGACCGCCCATGGGGTCATCTGGTCGCGCTGGTGGGAGGGATGCTGTCTGAGGATCGCGCTCTCGACCTGCGCTGCGATGCTGCCAGGGTGCGCTAAGTGGCGGGCGGGCTTCGCGGCCAAGTGTGGCGTCTTCGGGAATAGAGGGTGGCCGGCGCTCTGACTTGTTCTCAACTAGCCTTAGCTGCCTGCCGTCGCCGATTTCGTCCTGGAATGTACGGGCGCATGCACTAGCAAACGGCGACCAG